CCCCCAATCCCTGCTGAGAGGCTGTACCTGAAAGCAGCTGTAAATTGCTCCCACCATCAGATTATGCACCCACCATGACCTCCTACACCAAGTCACACACTGAGAGAAACTGCGACTGAAATAGCAACCAGCTCCTATGCCGGCTCTACCACAACACTGCCTCAGAGCGGCTCCCTTTAGGACAGAGCTTTCCAAACTTTTCATGTTGGTGACACACTTTTTAGACATGCATCATTTCACGACACAGTAATTCAGTTCCGGGGGAGGGGCCAAGGGAAGCAGACACGAGTAAGGGAGCTCCGCGGTGCTCTTCCGCAAAATTTTCTGCATTTTGCGCGACACACCAACACACTGCCGCCGACACACTAATGTGTCATGGCACACAGTTTGGAAAGCTCTGCTTTAGGAGATGTTACAGAAAAGGATGACAGCAGTAACAAAAGGTTACCTTCTGTGCAGTGCGAAAATAGATACTCTTGTCTGCCCCGCAGCTGATCATCCTCACTTTCCCATCATTAGCTGGAACAAAGAAAAAGAAATAGGTCCAACAAATAAACACAACAGGAACTCAACAGTGGAACAGTTGTTTATTGCATGTTCCTCATTCCTCCCTCTACAGCCCCAACTAGCCAAGCCCGACTATGCTGTAGGGAGTCAGTACTGCAGGCTGGTGCACCAGAAGCCCTTTCTGTCCTCAAGAAGGAATAGTCTTTTTTACTAGTTCAGAGGGCTCAGCCACAGTGAATTCCAAAGGGAACTTAATAAACCATCAGGCCACTGGACAGCAGGTAGACATTTAAAAATTCTGCAATTCCTCTGAGCATAGCTTTTGCTCTCTGGATACTAAAGCCCTTCCTCTTGGTGCAGGCTGGGGATGAAGAATGGAGCGTCTACCCCATACCGTAGGCCAAAAATACCAGCCTGGATACTTTTTCCAAAGTCAAGCTCCACTCTCCCTCAGCTATGATAACAATAGATGGATGTAGCCATTTCATATGGGTTAAAAAGCAGGGGGGTGGGGAAATGATTAGTTGTTAGCCCAAATAAATATGAAGGGATTTCAATTCCCAAAGAGGCGGAAAAGATAAGACAAGCCTTGCTTTCTAGTATGACTGTAGCTGTAAATGAGGAGAAAGAAGCAAGTTAAACTGTAACCTCACATAAATCAGGAATTACAAGGTTAAATAATTCTACCGAATGTCACAGCCATGATATGGCAGCAGCAGTATTCTTGATGCTGGGCAGATTTTGCTTACATCAGCATAAATAAAATTATACGGGCTCTCCAACCTGCAAACTTCACAGCTGTGATGGAAGAGGAATGCTCATCCAGAGTCTGCTGCAACCTATAGTCCTTCCCAGCATCCAAAACATGGATCAGTCTGTCCCGACTTGCTGATGCCAAGAGCTTAAATCCTGCCAGAGATTTTACAAGGGAAGCAAAACCTTTACTGAAAAGCAATTTGCTTCTTTGACCATAATATTAAGCATCTTCAAGTTGCACAGTAGACACCCTTCCTAATAAGTTTAGTACAAGTAAAGCAGGTGCATACAAAGGAACATCCCCCAGGTTTCAATTTGCAATAGAACACACAAAATGTAGTGATCTAAAACTCCCCACATCCATATAGTAGCAAGAGATGGAAGCCTTTTCAAACTCAGGGCCTTCTCCTTCAGTGCTACAAAAGCCTCTGCTCTGAGAGCTAAAGGAGCAGCTTCCCACTAGAGACTTGTTATACATAACAGCCAGAAAAAAGAGTTGCTCTACCTCAGGCACAAGACAATACATCATGCAGGCCACATAAGCAAGCAGTGGAAATAAAACCCTTCTGTTTCTTACCTGTGTCAGGTTTGGAGTACTCCAGGCAGAGGATCTCAGAGTCATGAGCTTCTACCTTCAGCATTTCCCTAAGGGACTGCAACTCATAAATTCTGAAATAAGACAAAAGATTTCAGTGCCCACATAGAAATATAGAGTAAAAAAAGGGAGACACTCTTCTCTATGTTCACCCCTGTCCCACAGTCATACCACCCAAGAAGCCCTAGGGTTACCTGAGCGTGCCTATCCTGTCCCCTGAGGCCAGATGCTCTCCACTGGGGCTCACACACACAGTGCGAATCCCCACCTTCATGTCTGTAACCTGTGTGTCAGCTTTATCTGCACTCCCACCAGAGTTGTAATCAGTGTCAAGCAGGCACTGAGTGTTGTCATCCACATAGATGATTTTCATCAGGTCCTTAAAAGAGAAAAGACCAAAGAAGTACTGAAGTGGAGAATTGGCAGTCAGGCTCAGTAGGCATCTGAACCGATAGCCAATGCACTGCTTGGAAGGGGGGAAAAATAAGAGATAATGGAAGAGGAAGTTAGAACATCAGTGTCCATCTCCTTTAAAAGAGCCAGAGTGCACCTTATTCTGTGCCACTAAGAATGGAAAAGACTTTCCTCACATCGCCTTTCCTCACCTCTGTGCAGCCATAAAATATTTTATGGCAGCATAAAAGCAAAGCAAACAGACAGACATCCATATCCTTTATTGCACCATAAATGGCCAAAGTTTGTGGCTGTGGCAAAAGTGGTAATAGATTGTGCTACTTTTTTTGTGACAGACATCTGTTTTTTTGTGATGGGAGAATGCAGGCAGCCTGCAGCTGCTCACACTCCCAAGCCACCCTGGGTATCTCCTTTAGAGGCCTGTGGAGCCTAATCTTACAAACTCCAGGAAGCCCTGCACAGGTTTGAGCCCCTCAGGCCCCTGGAGCACCTGCATAGTTTCCCAGCTTCCAGAGACATGTCTCCAGGAATATCAGGGCAATTCTCTGTAGAGAGGGAAAGCCAGGGTTCCCAACTTACAAAAACATACCCTGGGATCTCTCCAGGATGTCTGTTTAAGCATGGAAAGCCTGGCATGTCCCCACTTATGGTGATGCACCCTGGGATCTCCCCAGTGTGTCTCTCTAAGTGGGAAAAGCCCAGAATTCCCCACTTACCAAGATGCAACCCCAACATCTCCTAAGTGCATCTCCTTAAGCAGGGAGATCTTGTGCTGTGGCTCCATAAATGGGGAATCCTAGGCTTTTCTCACTTAAGGACATGTGCTGGGGAGATCCCAGGGTGTATCTCCATAAGCAAGGAAACCTCGACTTTCTGCCTTACAGAGACATGCCCAAAGATTCCTTGGAGCATATGTAAGTGGGGAAAGCAAGGCAGGTGCTCTAGAAACCTGAGGGGTTCAATCCTGCTAGGGAATTCCCAAGGCATACAGGATTGGGCCTCTCAAGCCCCAGGAGAACATGTCACCCGTTGTCCCACAGCATGAACAGGCAGAATAAGGGTGACATGTGTTACACCTAATGAAGAAAATCAGCTGTGCCAGAACACATCCTAGCATAGCTGATGTCATTTAATTTAACAACATCTGTTTCTACCCTCAGAGAAGCCTCCAGGCTACAAAATACTAAAATAAGGATGCAGTGGGAACTACATGAAGCATTCTTGAAGGTCAACGCAAGTAGGCCTAAATCGTCATAAATCTCTCTGGCAAAGTAGTTTGTTTTACCAAGTGCAGTTTGCTCAGAAATGGATCTAGAGAGCTGGTCACATAAGAGCAACAGAAGCAAATAGCTGCAACCAGTCACTGTACTGAGTTTCTTTCCATTTAACATCACTATAGATAGAAGGAAATAGGAATCAGATGGTGTGGATTTAGAACTCTCTTCCCATCCCTGCCCCCAGTCTCCATCATTCATGGAACATTCTTCCACCAATCCTGATAATTAAATAATTATATGAATTGCAGGATTGGGAGGAACAAGAGAAACAGTTATACCCTCTTCTGAAACAGTTGGCATAAGCCACTCTGGACAGGATGAGACAAGGCGATTTATCTGGTTCAAAATAACAAGTTTTAAGACGTTTACAAAATATTCAGATTTTTGTTTACACTTGATCTGCCCCTGCACAACTTCTCCAGGTCCGTCAAACTTCCCTCGGATGACCTTTGGGCCTTAACTCTGACATTGCTGTACATAAGCCAAAGGCCAAGAAATGAGCTGTCTTGGCAGCCTGGGGTTCTTACACTGCTGAGGATGTTCCGATGCAGAGCTGAGCCATGAATGTTGGAACTCTCCGTGTTCCACAAACGAATGGTGTTGTCAGATGAACAGGTGATAAAGGAGCTTGGGGGAAGGTAGGACTGATTGTTGTCCTTCACCTCAGGATACACCTAGAAGTACATAAAGAACAACCCCAAAGTGAGATGTCACTGTGGTTTGTTTTTAAGACACTAGCAATAAGCTTCCGACAAGTTAATGAGACAGAAAGGAACGATCTCACTCCAAAATTCTATTCTCACTGGCTGGCCAATCACTGGTTTGTGTTCCTTTCACAAACCAACACTGAGTAGAGTTCCCTGGCTAGAATAGTAAGCCCCCTTGCTTTCTTCCACAGCAATGAGAAAGGAGCGAGCTGATATCCCTCATCTCTTCAAGTGCGCATTAGCGGGAGGCACTGGGCTGTTGCCAGACAAGGCAGTGACAGAAGTGATGTTTTGTTGTGCAGTCAGCCCCTGAAAGCACTCTACAGCCATGCCCTGACAGAGGCGCATGGTTGCAGAGAGCTTTATAAGTGCCCAATTGCATGACAAATGAACCTTCATTACATGAGGGTTCAGGTGAAGGCACTCCAAAGCAGAGCACCTTCAGTAACTTCTGTCAGTCCCTGCCAGGAACACGGTTGGGCTGAAGCATCCCAATGCTGTCTTCAGGATGGTGGGTGGGGAAAGAAGAGGAGGGAGTTTAGTCTGGGGTTTACCACACCTGCTCTGGAGGCAGGGAGGGCAGGGGGTGGATTGGAGCCCCCCAGTGGTGGGTTGGGGAATTGGGGGCTCCAATCCACCCCCGCTTCAGCGCAGGCTGAGCAAACCCAAAACTGAACTCCTTCCCCTCCTTTCCCCCATCCCATCCTAAAGACAGCACTACAGCTTGGGGAAGCAGGGGCAGGGCTATGGCAGAGAGGCACAAACTCAATCTGCCAACTCCCCACCCCGGACCCAACAGGCAACATCCGTTGGATTGGGGGATCACTGTAACTTGTGGCACTATCTGGGAAGTGCCATGAGTTACAGCAGGGAACTGCATATCTGTCAGAACCCAGTTCTTTGAAGCCCCACATACCACTAAAGAGTCATGTTCCGGGTCAGGTTAGAAAGATGATAAATACCCTAGTTTTGCTTCCTTCTCATTACCAAGTCTCCCTTTTCTGAGGTGACCTGTGAATGTTGAAACTCCACACAGATTCTTACTTCCTGCCATGACTCTCTCAGAGACAGAGAGAGAGAGAGAGAGAGAGAGAGAGGGAGAACGAGCTAAATATATGTACTAGAAACCATAGAGCCTTGCTGGGAAATGCATACAGACCTAGTAAACAGGCTGAGATCTGAGTTGAGATCTGATCATGTTTCATGCATTTACCCTTAGATCATATGTTCAAAAAGTTATACTTCAAGCACAGACAGACTGAACTGAACACATTTTAGGAGCAAGTTTGCGTTTAAAAGCCACCAATGACTTCTCAAATCTTTTATACTTAAAGGTACACATGTACCAGTTTCGACAAACAATGGACTTTTTCCTGAATTTCTGGGAGGTGGGAATTGCCTTTTAATGGTACATTATTTTTCAATAATGCTTTTCACCCAAAGAGCAGAGCCAGTCACAACTGCACATCTAAAGAATAGCTCCCAATTCCACTGAGTTACAGCAGAACCAGAAAAACCACAAGTGATTTGGGTTGATCCTCTCTGTAACCAGCATTTGCATTTAATTAAGAAAGTTCCTCAGCTACTTTCCTCACCTGCATCCCCCAACCCACCACATGTACTAGAAAAACCACTCATGGCCCACCATTACCTCAATGCTCCACACGCAGGAAGAGTGATACAAAGCAGAGTAAACCTTGCCAACTTTCTTCGGGTCCTTGACATCCCACACGTATAGGCTGTGGTCATTATATACACATGATAGCCACTGGTTGGTGGGGTCAAAAGTCAGGGCAATCGTGTCTGGATACTTGGCATCAGTCATGCCAGAGAAGAGACGGCTGTGCAAAAATAGGACCATATTCTGGTTACTGAGTGCAACACTGAAGAAAAAGAAGTCAGACCAAGGAGCAAACAGGAAAAACTGGACCTCTTATCCTCTGAAAGACTAGAGGTTGGGATTAGCCAGGACCATACAGTTGTGTAGGGTTAAAGCAAGCAAGTTGGAGAACTGACCTGCTTGAACAGTATATCTGCCTACCAAAAGGGGCCTGAGATTTCTTGGATGAGAGGGGCCAGAAGAACTGGTTCCATGATTTGGTTTTCTTCTTTTCAGTCTGCACATTCTGCACCTATTTCATCCCTTGCTTAGTAGACCCTCACTAACATTCTGGAAACAGCCAGAACAAGAGGGTCTTCAAATCTTTGGAACCCTAGTCATTCCCTGTCCGAACACAAGGAAACAAGGAAAGCAGAGAATAATATTTTTGTCTCCTTACATCTCTGACACAAGCAGGTGGGAGTGAAAGGTGGCACAGCACAAGCAACAAAATGCCTACTTCTACTCTAGTCTCCAAGCTACCCACAGGAGAACTAAAAGCTGAAATTAAATCAAATTAAAACCCAGACAGCAAAGTCCTGGTGCTTCACACCAGCACAGAAAATAAATTCCAGCGCTATATGGTAGAACAAGGATATCAAACTGGTTTGGCCCTCCAGGCTGCACCAGACTCATTTCTGGTGGTGGGGCAAACAGGGGCAGTGTCAACCCCTCCCAGGAACTAGAGGGTTTAACACCACTGTTGCTCATCCTGCCTGTGCAGAAAGAAATCCCCAACAGGACTCCATACCCTGATGGAGTGACTGCAGCACTGCTACTGCCACCTAATTCCTGGCCTCTCCAAGAGCGTGATGGACTGGATGATTGACACCCTTGTTGTAGAAGCAAAATAACCATATTAAGAGTTCACAGAATCATAGAGAAGTGGGGCTGGAATGAACCTCCAGAAGTCATCTAGTCCTTTCCCCTGCCTCAGGCAGGATCATCCCTATCCAAACCATCCCACACCAACCGTAATCTAAACTCTACATAAAACTACCGTCATCCCTGACAACACAGACCAAACACCTTAACCTGCCACAAGTAAAGCAGGGGAACCACAGCAGTCAATGTCCTGCTTCAAGAAATGTTGTCAATATATGCTCAAGGGATCCCAAGTAGAGGGCTACATCCAACATTACAGAGAAAGCAAAAAACCCCACAGGTCATACCAATCTGGCCATGGGGTAAAATTCCTTCTTGATCCCAAACATGGCCATCAGTCTGACCAGAAGTGAAAGGGCAAGACCCCCACTAGCCAGGAGCCTCTGGCTTTGGTCCCAGCAGATGCATTGGCACACCCCAGTTAAAACCCTCAGCTTTAGCTGCAGCCAACACACAATGCTTCTGGGAAGGCTTAAAAACACCCTGACATGCAACAGAAAGGGCAGAAGGGGGCAACCAGCAAAGCCCAGAAGCATGAGAAATACCCACAGTATGCCTAGATCATCCCTGACAATGGCTGTCTAATCTCTTCTTGAACACCTCCAGTGATGGAGTCCACAACTTCCCTAAGCAGACTATTCCACTGCCTCACTGTTCAACAGTCAAGAGGTTTTTTCAGATATCCAGTCTAAACTTACTTTACTGCAACTTCAAGCCATTAGTCTACATACTCCTCTCTGCAGCAAGAGAAAAAAGGTGTTTTCCCTCTTCTTTATGGAAGTCCTTCAAGTATTTAAAGACTGCTGGCATGTCCCCTCTTAAGCACCTTTTCTGCAAGCAAGCTGAATATGCTTAGTTCCTTCAGCCTCCCCTCATGATTTGCCTTCCAAGCCCTTGATCTTGCCTGGCAAATCATGAGGGGAGGGTTCAGAGGGTTCTTGCCTGTCTCTGAACCTGCTCTATCTTCTCCATGTTCTTTTTTTAAGATGTGGAGCGCAGAACCGCACACAGTACCCCAGATGAGGCCATGTCTTGTAACTAATGCTTCTACTGATGCAGCCCAAAACTGCATTCACCTTTTGTGCAGCTGCATCATGCTGCAGACTCATATAGTCTGATCTACCAAGACTCCTACGTCCTTTTCCAAAATGCCACCATCCAGTCAGATGTTACTCATTTTATACTTGTGTTTTGATTAGTTCTCCCATTCTGTAGCACCTTGCATTTGTCGGCATTGAACTTCATCCTGTTAGCTCTAGCTCAACTTTCCAATCTGTCAAGATCCTTCTGAATTGTGTTCACATCCTCCAACAAGTTTGCAATCCTTCCCAGTTTCATGTCAGCTACAAATCTGCTCAAGAAGCTTTCTATGCCAACATCCAAATCATTAATAAACACTTTGAACAGCAGTGAGCCCAGGACAGACCCCTGCGACTCCATTCAAGACCCCTTGCCATTCTAACATCAACCCATTAATCATTATCCTTTGCTTGCAGCTATTGAGCCAGTTATCTATTCCACCTTATAGTAGTTTTATTTAGCCTACATTTCTCCAATTTGTTTATAAGTAGGTCATGTGGGACCTTGTCCAAAGCCCTGCTGAAGTTCAGATACACTAGGAGTAGGGCCTGGTTTAAATCGCAATTTCACATTTTTTGTGAAAAATCATGAATTGAAGTGATTTTCACAAAAAATGTGATTTGCAATAAAATGCCACTATATAGCCACCTGCTGGGGAGTTTCCCAGCAAGAGGCCATATCATGGCATTTCATTGCAACAAGACAGTTGCTGCAAGCATTGGATGGAGTGGGAAATGCAGTGATATAATTTTAATTGCAGATTTTGCAAATGGCCATCCTTAGAATATGCTCCAGTAACTTCCCAGGTACTGAGGTGAAGCTAATCAATCCCCTGGGTCCTTTTAAAAAAAAAAAAAAAAAGAGAAGCACTACATTGGCCTTTTTCCAGTCTTCTGGTACTTGACCCATCTCCCATGACTTCGTGAAGATCACTGCTAAGGACTCTAAGATCTCCTCTACTAGTTCCTTCAGGACCCTGGGATGAAGCTCTTTCAGCCCTGCTGACGAAGTCAACCCCAAACAAAAGCTCTCTGACCATCTATTTTGTTTGTTATTTTGTTATCCTTATCCTCCTTTGTGAAATGCAGCTTGTTTTTCATCTTTGCCTTACTGATTTTGTCCCTGCAGGTTCTTGCTACTTCCTCACATGCCTCCTTGGTGATCTGCCCATTTTTCCATTTCCCTTATGCTTTCCTTTTGCATTTGAGCTAGTGTGAACTTACAAAGAGATGCTCAGAGAGGACAGAGGTTTGGTAATTTACAAGACACTGAGCTCTGCAAAATTGGGCTGGAAATTTTGGGAGGAGAGAGACCTGCTCATTGTTCAGGTCTCCTAGCCAAAAACTAAGAAAAATGTATTTTAAGTGTTATGAATGCTGCAAAACTCCAAGCAAAGGTTCATATTAGGTTCAACTCTAAAACCCTGCAGGAAGGTTGAGTCACGTTCTGGCCACCTTAGCATGCGGAGGCCAGGGGAGATTCATGCAGTTGCCACCTTAGCAGAGGCCAGGGGAGATTTAAATGGAAGACTCATGAGGTCATGTACAGCTGACTAGGATTCAAGAATTCTGGTTTTTATTGCTCTCTCTGCCACTAACTTGCTGGGCAACTGTAGGCAAGTTTCTTCACCTTTCTGTGATTTATTTTCTTCATATGCAAGCTGGAAATCATGCTTATGCTCATCTTTATCAAAGGGAAAATGATTTTTCTTTACTCAGCTGTGCCATTCTCAAATAATGGTCCCAAATAAGGGGAATTACTCTATTACCTCAGGAACTGTGCCTCCCTCTCCCCCACCACGCTCCAAGATGCAAGCAGAAATGTTCTCTTTTGTTAACAGTTATCACCAACCGCAGGAACTTCTCTCATCCCAAAAGCCAAGGGAGAGAATGTGAGCAGTCACTCACATTACATTAAAGGAATTCACCACCACAACAGACAAAGAAACAATTCACTCCAACTAATACATGAACCCTTCACCCCAGCAGGTCAGACTGATGCTGCTTGGAGCACTCTAGACAGGCAGGTGCCAATGTACATATAATTTATCTGTAATTTATTTACAGAGGCTACCCCTGCTGCCACCCTAAAGAAAAACAAGCACATGAACTGTGAAACTGTCCTTATTGACAGGGTGAATCCAACTCCTGCAGACATTATTACTACTGGGCCTTTCCCACTATAGTGCCAAGGAAACTAGAATGGGTTCTCTTGATTTAAGGGGGAGAAGAGAGCCAAAAAGGCTCACCTACCCACCCCGCTTGGGCTTACATCAGCCTACCTAGGTAGTTGTACCCATAGTATATCATCTAGCTCAGCAAATAGAAGGATTAGGTGAAGAATCTGGGGACAAGGGCCAAAGGGAATATACAGTAATTGAAGGTTTGCAAGTCTGCACCCTAATTTTGCAAGTGCAAACTATGGGAGCAACAATGGAGGGCTGGGGAAGAGGAGCACAGGACATCTTTTATTGAAAGCCAACTAACTAATGCAGCTGTGGGCCGTAATGCTGGAGACAGGCATTCCACAAAGAAGCTATGGTATGCACTGGTATAATAAGAATTTGTGTGTTTTCCCGTTTCCTTTAAAACAACAAACACAGTTAAGATTGGAATCAGCCCTACAAATGCATGCTTGGGAGTCACATGATTGCCTCTGCCTGGGGAGAATGAAAGACTTGGGACTAGTTAAGAGCACTTTTAAAGAGCAAGTGATCAGCTTTCATGATCGAGTACTACCAGAGTAGGTAACCTCTTAAAAGTGGAAGCAATATGCCCAGCTCCATCCCTGGGTTACCATCCTGCTCCCAATTTAGCCTTTGGGAAACAGTAAATTATTTGAACTGTTTACTCAGCCCTCCCAAGAAGTTTTTGCCCTGTTCAACTTTATTGAAACACTTAGGAAAATTTCAGTGCATCTGTAAAGACGAGGTAAGTCTGTGAAATGGGGTGGGAAGGAGATGGGAGACAAAAGGAAAGGGCAAAAAAGAAAAAAAAGGAGGACAGAAGGCACAAGGATGGAAGGAAGGAAGGAAGGAAGGAAGGAAGAAAGAAAGAAAGAAAGAACACACAAGGGCAAGGGATTGCGTTCACAAAAACAATATCCCATGAAAGTCTCTGCATCTTTTGTCAATGGAGCTGTGTTACAGGGTAAGAACTCAGGGGTGCCAAGGCAAAGGTAAGCCCATTTAATTCATCACTGCAGCCCCATCTCTAACCCATCCAAGCTTCCCTCATCTCCTTCCACCCTATCTGCATTACCTGGCTTCAGTGATGCTGGCAATGTCTGTCCCCAAGAAATGTGGTTTCGGCAGCGTAGTTACAAAGTGAAGGTTCAAAGGGTTAAAAATCCGCACCGTGCCATCCGCACAACCACAGAAGATGTAGTCATGGTTCACAGAGATGCAGTTTGCCACGGTAGTCTGAGGAAGACACAACACCAACCAAAATGGTAAGCGGCGCTCTCACTTTGAAGATCACCACATGAATGAGAGCACACAAAACAACTAGGGTCAGAAAGACGAAGTGAAGTGAAGTGAAATGAAGCCATTGAGACTAAGGAAAAGCCTGAAATCCTGACTTCCTGTTTGAGAAGCATCAAACCCAGTTTGCTACGGGAGCTAAATAGTTACTGACCAGGTAGATGCAGCCCTCAGGGCCTGCTCCTCTGTGGGTCCAAATTAAAAAATTACCTCTGTAGATTTTAGCAGAGCTACACAGATTTTACACCAGCTGAGGATCTGGACCAATGAACATTTCTCTTGTGCTCCTGAGATATGTTCAGCAACACAGGCTGGGAAACAACATCTAGCTCTGCACAAGCCACTGAACATGTTTCCTGCTCCCGAGGGACAAAGGTGGGAAAAGTAAGAGTCTTCTTCCTTCTGCTGGGATTTTAACAAATGGCAGAAAATGATGGAAAATGGAGCCAGGGCGAGTTGAAGCCAAAGACTTCGTTCTGACTTACTGTGAAGCTGTCGGTGTTCTGAAGAGAAGGAAGAGGGGAAAGGCAGAATTTAGAGCAGAAAGGAAACAAAAGAGAGACATTTCATTTGGGGAAGCATGGAACCATTTTGCCATGGCTTCAATATGGTGAATCTTTCAGGGTTACCATTTTGCTTTACATTTTGTGGTTTTCTACCTTACATTTAAATATGAAAATCTTAGACCTCCAAGCTACTTGGCCAGCACACACCAGCAAAGTCCACTACCACATAGGAAAACTGACTTTAAGACTCACGAAGGTTTTGTTTCTTGGGTGACAGGAGACACTGCAGAAGCAGTTTGTTTTATCCCTGATAAAATGAGAGCTCCCCATTGTCACTAACTTCTCCCAACTCTGCAACTCCTCCCCAACATGGAGGAGCCACACCCAACCTCCCGTAGCCAGAAGGGCATTCATTAAAGGGTTAAACCTTGCAGACAGCACCTTAAGAATTAGAGGGTCCATTCAATACAATCCTTTTCAATGGCTAGCTTTGGAACAGAAGACTTCATTTCCATCTCTGCCCTTCTAAGCACGCCCTTTCATGGAACAAGTTAAGTCTCCAAATTCTCCTCACGAGTCAACATTCTCGCTGCTAATGGCAGCTGGCAGCCTCCGGATGTCCCCGTCTCTCCCACTCCATGTCAACAGGCATGAAGTACAAGGACAGCAGACACAACTTACCCTCAGCTCCACCCACTTGTCTAGCAGTCGTTTTTCATTGAATTCACACAGGAGGCCTGAGGAGGTGATGCAGAAAGTGCTGTCAGCTTTTTTACCCCTTCCACATGCCACATCGGTGAAGAAGTTGTTCCTCAGCTCTCCCAGCAAACCAGAGCGCCCTAGCAAGGGGACTGTGGCATTCACCTGCCAAAAGACAACAACCTGCTAGTGAGAATATATAACATGCTACAGTAGAGACTGCAAAAGACAGTCTGACAAAAGAGGTTGTAATAACTAGAATCACAGGGTTGGCAGCAATCTCGGTCTCAAGGATCATACCCTGCATAAGTGCTCGATTCCCTCTTCCTAGATCAACCTAGCCAGACCTACTTGCTGCAGCTCCACAATGCATTAGGACCAGCAGTAGCAGCAAATCACGGGGAAGGAGTACCTGTTTTTGGCCATCTGGCATACATGTCAGCCAATCAGAGGCACTTGAAGCAATGCTGGGGTTAAACACTGGCTGGTCTTCCCTGATGACGGAGACCAAGCTGTAAACTGTACTGACTGATGCGTCACTGGAAGACTTGTGATATGAAATGTGAAAAGTTACCTTTGAATAAATTTGGCTTTGGGCTACAGATAAGCAAACTAACATGGAGTAATTTGATGTGACACAGTAGTAGAGGAAGCCACGGGGCTAAACCCACTATCCGATGCTCTGAAAACACACCCCCTCAAAATCACAGATGTCAAAATCAGAGGAAGAGGCAAAGCACAGGTTTGGCAGGCACATCTATGTTGCTACTGTCACACAAAAATGGAAGTGCCATTGAAAAAGTGTCAGAATATAGTAAACTATGCTCGATTGCCACGTGTGTCCTTGCAGCTGAATACATGAAACCCAGGTTTGTGTGCCATGTGTAACCTTCCCTAAATGACTGCCCACTGGAGGTTATGGCTTGAGCGCCATGGTCAAAAGGACTCTCATTCACTTCAATTGATAAATCAAAGAGTTATTCTGTGGGCTCCTGCTCCCCAAAGCTATTGGAAAGAGCCAGATACTAAAGAAGCCCTACTCACTGCTTCTCCTCAAGACTTTTCCCATCCCTTGTTCTCACCTTGGAGGTTTTGCTGTCATCCAAGTACCAGAACTTGATATGCCGGTTACCAACTGTGACAAAATAACTACAGTCTTCCGAGAATGACACTGCTGTCACCTTGCTTGAAACCTTGTTGGCTGCCACCACAATGTTTTTCTGAAAAAAAGATAACTTGTTTAAGCATCTTGCTTGATACAAGTACTGAAGAGGTTCATTTCAACTACAGGCATAGCCTCAGCCATTAATCAAATTCTAGTAACTAGCTCATCATGCCTTTGTATCAGTCCCACTCTCCATTGTCTTAACTAGATAAGTCAGCAACCACCAGGGTCCACAGTAACAGTACTGCCTGGGCCTTGGCTACTGGTTTCATCATCACAGGGAGCTCAGAACAAGCATACTTCCCTTTCTAAACAATGAAAGCACAGTATGCCAACACCAGCTGGAGGTCTTTCAACCCCCAAGCAGCAATGGGCAGAACATCCAGAATAGGTAGAATGTATTTTGCACAGGAAACCACTATAAATCTCTTCGTGTGGGGAGTGGAATGAAAGTACAGATGGGCAAAGGAGATAAAGAAGATGCTTCTGTTTGGCCTAGAGGAAGAAGCAAGACAGTTGTGCCTGCTGCAGTTCTCCCGTGCACACATCAAATGCCCAAGAGAAAGGGAGGGAAAGAAGCACAAGAGATGGCTTTTCCCGAGGAGAATGACCAGGCTGCAAGAACAGCCTCTCCCTGACCCTTGTGCTTGAACATTTTTGTCTATTGATTAGTAGCCAAGAAAGGATTAAAAGCTCTTGTCTCTCTCCTCTGTGACTGCATCCACACAAGCGCGGATGTTTGTTTCCCTGGGGACAAGTAGCGGTGACACATTTTGTGCACTGCTACTTGTCCTCGGGGAACAAACATGCCACACGTCCTCTGGCGCATGGCAAGTTACCCAGGGGGGGGTAAGGGGGGGGCTGCCACTACATGTGCCACCCTGCTTATTTTTGGCGTAGATTTTTTTTTACCCCGGGATCTCCCAGAAAAAACACCCCCCACACTGCAGGGTAGCAACATGGGGAACACCTGCATGTGTGATGTGTGGTGTTGCAGACAGGTCTGTGGTGCCACATATGGCACATCCACACTCGTCTGGACACAGCCAATGAGTTTTAAGGCTAGGCCTTTTTCTGCAGTATTCAATTACCCAATAATGCACCAAATGGAGATATTAAAATGCTCACCTGAATCAACAATTCATATCCTCATTTTTCCTCCCTCCCTCCCCTCTCACAAGCCATCCCTCCAATGCAGTGTCCAACTCAGAAGCTGTGGCTCTCCAAGAGGCCTGCTGCATGTCTGTCCCAAGATGCTGAGAGACCTGCAGAGGCAGGGGAGCAAGATAAGGCTGTGGCACCAGCAGCACAAAGGCAGTCTCCAGTCCAGATGCAGGGGACTTTAAGACAGCTCTTCCCCAAGTGAGAAGACATGGAATGCTTTTAGAGTCCTCCCTCTCGGTCCCCAATGATCACACAACTGCTATGGGCTTTCCCCTTGTGAGAACCAGAGAGTACCACAGACTTGTTTCATCAGGACCAAACTTCCAAATCAGCCTCTCAAACTGGAAAAAAGGGATATCACAGCAGCTATCTCCTATGCAAGAGGAAAGATAGCCTTCTGGTTAAAGGAAGATTCTGGGCTCCTGTCCAATGCCCAATTCCAGGCTCTGCCACTGATTTCTTCCATGACTTTGCAGAAGTCATGCTCTCTGACTTCAGTTCCCCACCAGAAAAATTAGAAAAACAATCCTTTCTCCCCATATTTTTCTGCGGTGGTCTATTAAGTTCTTTGGCAGAGAGGCAGTCTATCACCCCATGGATGTGTAGTGTCTACCTCAACAGGGACTCCCCAAGTAAGCACTAAGAGAAGAAATAAACAATACAAGAACACAAAAACTTGGATCATCAAGGCAGCACAAAGATTTTCATTCCAAGTAAGCAATAACCTTACTTTGATAAATTCATCTTTCAATCATTATCTTCAGTTGCCTTATATAGAAGAACTGAAAGATTACACACTGGATTTTCAATGGACATAAGGACTCTGCTATTTAAACTTCAGAGAGAGACTCAGACAAGAACTGGGCAGGTTCAGAAAGCAGGATCAGAAATATTAGCTAACAATGAAGATGACACATGAAGAGAATCTGAACTATAGCCTGAGGGAGCTGATGAAGTAGTTAACAGCATGCCAAAGGGAACATAGACCTGCAGCTGCATAACAAAATTAACAGCCATATTAAAATTTAAAAAACCCATCTCTCTCCCAGAGAGGGCTGGTTACTGCCAGAGGTAGAGACAGAAGTAGAGGGAAGGAACCAACTCAAACTAGTGGAAACATGATCATCTGGTTCTCTTAATATCACAAAGGGCCCCAGGCTCAATACATTTATTGCCATTATAAAACACTTATACAATGTTGTCAATTTGCATACACAATCTAAAAGAAAAGCAAATAAAGCACAGCCTGTATTCTGGTCTAGCACTGCCCCCACTCAGAACATATCTGGTCCCTGTGCCAGGTATACCCGATTACCTCCATACAGCTGTACTGACAGTCCTTTTTAAGTGCTTCTCATTCCTCCTCCTTGCATCAAAAAAAAAGGGTTTATAATATTCCCATTCCAAACAGAACAAAAGCAAAATGATTCATGAATGTCCATAACAGGGACTCACCAAAAAGAGACAGAGAGTGAGAGAGAGACTTCTAGCTTGCAACCCCCTCCCCTCCCCCATCATCACCTTCCCCCAGATAAATTAGTTTAACCAGGCTCTATAAAAAACACAAGACACTGACAGTCTTGCAGCCCAGACCTCTCTGACTCCACAGCAAGATATCTCATCTATCTTGTAAATTGTAAGGAACAACCCTGGGGATAAACTAAATAACTAAATAGGCCTCTTCCATCTCTAGCTTGTCTGATTCTATGAACGTCAAAGAGAGTAGACTTAAACAGCACTATAATCAGACTTACTGAGAGCCCTCTGTGTGTACGCACGTTTTTCCGTGACATTAAACCAACCTTCCTGTACACTTACCTTCCATGACCACACATTGACAATCATGTCATGCTGATAACCCACTGAGACAATGTACTTGGAGCTAGGTGAGAAAGAGACGCAGGCCACACCATACTTGTGTTCTTGGAGCTCAGCCACCTGGGTTCGTTCAGCCACATCCCACACGCGAACAGCTGGCATGTGTCCACTCTGGAGGGAAGAATGCCACAACTGACACAGTCTCACACACTCTCAGAAAGGACTATGGGACATTAGCCATCTTCTCACACTCAGAGGCTGTCACTCATAGTTAGGGTTTGAGACATGGGCAGAAGGTAGAGCAGGAGAGAGTGCACCCCTTATTTTGGCATATTTGATCTGTGAAGCAGCAGAAGGTTATGGTCTCCAGAGATGTTTGCCAGCACTGTGTCTGCGAGAATGTATGTATATAAAAAGAGCATATATGAAATAAAATACTGGGTAGGTAGAAATGCTTGCCAAATGCGTGCCTGACAAGCAAACCCTACTAAGCATCTTCCTCATGATTTCACATGGAAGCCTGTCAATAGGTAGCCCTGCAAGATAACATCTCCATGGCAACAAGGCAAAATGCGTCTTTTCTGGTCTGGGTTAAAGCAAGTCACTTGACTGTGTGTAGGAGTAATACATTTGCTTGCAAAAAAACTTGAAGCCTGGAACCCAGAACTGAGCATGTTTAATTGTCCTGCTGTTTCACAGCTTTACCAACATGGTCAGGTGCCCTGGAAAACCACAGCGGTCAAATTTTAACATGTTCAGCTCAGTTTTTCCCTTTAACATGACACAGTTACAATTAAGACAGTAGAACAGACTCAGACTCAACACAGCTACTACTCAAAGCATTTATATTCCTTTAACACATACACCTTTTAGATCTCCATCGCCCCTTTGAGACCTTACCAAACTGAATGCATGTTAAATAGTGTAATATTCACCAATATTAAGCTCCATCAGCTCTCTACAGACAAGAAACTTATTCCTCTGGGGAAAACCTCCATTTTCTTTTATATTTGAGATCTGCAGACTAGAGCTATCAGATATGGTGGCCTGAGGGGCAGCTTCTACGTTCCGACTCCAGAAAATTTAGTCATGCATCAGCTCGAGGTATTACTAGACGGAGCCAATAGATCTGAGCTTGCTAGAAATCAGACGTCATAAGCTGAATGCCTCTGGGTCAGCAATTACCAAGCTATTCTAACTGCAGTACTTCAGGAGGCAGAACTAAGCCAAGAACAAGTGCTACCTCCAGCAGGGGACACTATAAGACAAGATAAATGCTCAAAATAAAAGGCCTCAGGGAGGACAGAGACCCAAATGGCTGCTGAGCTGGTTAAAAAAAATTTTTTTTTTCAAAAATTTTGAAAAAAGGGAAATGGAGGAAGAAGGAAAAATGTTTCACCATGTTCCAAACTTTCCACATTCAACTCCTCAGCAAAGTTTCAAATTGAAACACTTTGTTTTGCATCACTGGGGAAATGACCAAAGCACATGCACGTGAGCATTTTTAAACCTTCACTCCATACCTCAAGCAAGGAGAAAAAGGAGTCCTTCAAAAACATCAAGGTAAAATTTAGTTTTTGGAAAATAAAATATTTAGCTTTAAGTCTTTATAGCAAAATTCTAAATTTCAACCAAATGAAAACCATGTTTGGGTTCAAAAAATGAGTTATTAAAAATAGTTTTGATGGATGATTTTTAACCATCTGTGCTGTGCAGCTGTAACTTGCTACCCTCTGTACTTGATCTATAGAAGAGATGAGCATTATAGCCTTATCTAAGAAGATTTCTAGTTAGTAAGAGCCAACATCTTGGCAACTGAAGCAGGGGCTTCCAGGGCTAACACAGTGAACTCCATAGCCTGCATTCAAGCTTTGTAGCTTGGGGTTATAATATACTTCTCTCTTCTGCTTTTGGGGCCCAGAGGGGACCTCTAACACACAGTCAGTCAGTTACATAGGCATGGAGTCCAATGACACCAACCATTAATGACACACAACAGCAAACCCAGTGTGACCAAAAAGGGGACAATCAACATTTTTGTGGGTTTCTAAGATCCAACAGTTCCAAACTCCAGCCACGTACATTATACATTTCTTAGACTTCTAATTCAGACCAGACCTGCAATGCAGTCATCCTTGCCTCCCAGACATTTGAAAGGCAAAAGATGTCACCAGCAGCAAAGTGTACAGTGCCAAACCCACAGACACCAGCATCTCTGTCACTAATCCAAAAGCTCTATTCCACACAGGCTTTTCACTTTTTCCATGACATTGTTACCATCTTGGATCATTTCCTGAGGGATAAGGCCCTAAATTCAATCCAGCAGCTAGGAATTCACAGTCCCTTCCTTTCCTTCTTCTGTGATGTTAACAGGTAGAGTCAGTGTCCTTAACTAATCTCCACCCTACCTTTAGCACAAGGATACCATCCCAGGAGTTTTACTACCAAGATGGAAAGACAGAACACCCTTTCTACAGGCATTTAGTAGCAAGTCAGGTTCATGCTAAATATAAATGACAGTGTGCCAGAACTGTATTTCCCTATCTAAATCAGTGCAGAGGTTTCCTCTATAGCTCTTCTAGGAGTAAAAACCATGTGAAAAGGCATGCGGACTAAACGAAACCCAGGTCTTCTCCATAGTTCCCATCCCCCAAACTAACTAAACTTCTTCCACCCCAATCTAAAATGGTATAGACTGGAAAGATGCACCTCTTCCCTCTTAAACAGTTTTCAGCACTTACCTCTCCAGTAACCAGATACTTTCCATCAGGGGAGAAAGCGAGAGCTGTAATTGTTTTCCTAAAAAAAATATAAAGAGAGAGAGAGAGAACGGGATACTATGAAATGGTGCCAGGACTTGATTTCATTGCAATCTGCCATGACTGGGGAGTGGAATAGGATGCGCTGGAAGGAGGCCTGAGTTGCATGTAATGACCTGACATGGCAGTTCTGTTTTCAGGGACTGAACACTTGCAGCGGGGATTCCCTGCAGTCCAAACATCTAGCATTGTGTTAACAGCGCAGAAAGGGTCCTGCAAGTCTGGACTTGCCACTGAACACAGGTCTTTACCTGACAGCTGAAGGGCTGAAACCTCAGGTGAAAAAAAAAATTATGCAAGCCTCACAGAATTCGAGTAAAACAGCCTCTGTGCCATTCCTTGGAGAAGTTCTTCCT